CCATCTTCTTTTTTTAAATTATAATATGCGCTTTACCTTTTCTAAATTATTATTATCTGCTTTCAGTTGACCCTTTTTTTAAATGATTTTTCTCTATTTCAAATGCTATAAAGTGTTGTTTTTGTGTTTTTTTTTATTTTATAATTTTGCATAATATTTATCATTATGAAATGTGTATCTTCGTTAGAAATGAAATAAATAAATGAAATATTGGTCTAATGTTTCTTTAAACAATTTAATCAACATTTCTATGTTTAGAATATTAGTATATCATCGAAACAGAAATCAGCTGGACATGTGACATCTCTGGCCTACCACTGGAATTTTTTGGTACGACATTTTTGTCATCATTGTAGTTTTATAAACATTATCGGTCTAGTAATTGAAATGATATGGTTAATAAACTATATATAGCAAGTAGTTATAAAATGCATTGGAATCAAGATTTCACTTACCACTCCACTTATTTAGATTTTCTATTAACTGTAAATCTAAGCATATCAGGAGCTCTTAATTGTAGCGCAGTAAAATATATACTTAATGTTTGATAGTTTCTGCGCTCTATTTAATGTGTCATTATTATAATTATAATTACATTGAATACAAAATTACACGGTATTAAACATTTCCTCATTGTGCAATAAAAGCTAATATGTTATTCAAAGACGTCGTTTCACGGCGTCTACTGAGGAAGCTGAAAAATACCCCCACTCCTACCCACCCGCCCGCTTCCTCTTCTGGTCTCGTTCCCAAGTGCCTGATATTGCCCGAGTTGAACGTTTTTTTTCTTCTTCATCCTTCATGAAGTCATGTGTTTGATAAAGAATTAACGATATGAAATGTATTAAAAACAAAACAAAAACGAAGATATTGCAATGATGATGAGAATGAAGTATCAAGGTATATTAAACAATTTAGAAATCTCTTGTCTTTCACTTACTGATTTGATTGAACTGGAATAATTTTGATACTTATTATATATATTATATTAATATCAACCAATCATCGTTATCATGTTTGTGGGTCTTCATAATATCGGTATGGAGTCTGTTCCATCGGTGGTACTGAGGTAATACATGAAACCATTTTAGGGGTAGATATACGAGGCACGCAACAGATGCGTGCTAGAATATTTATGTTATTGTCTCTGCTTACCTTGAACCGTTCCACGTACTCGGTTTTTCCTAGAAGAGGGCACTCTCCGAGGCACAAAGAGTATTCAATCAGGACCAGATATGATGGGCGTATAAAGTCTCTCTCCGATGCTGTTCAGACCGGCAGAATGATTCGATTGTGGTATCAGATTTTCAGTGTGTCTGGTGTATTTTATCACAAGTAGTTATTGCACAAACCAACTTGTGTACTATAAAGGTATCATCTGACATCCTGGGCCTGGTGCTGGGACGACACAATTCAAACGATAACTATTCAAACAAACAAAAAATGAAAGGAAATATTTTACCTGGGAATATGTAGCTTTTCGTATATCACGCACTTTTCGACAGATGCGGAATTCAGTTTGCCTGAGATTCGTTGTAATGATATTTCAATCATTCTGAGATTTGAGCCAAATTTGATTTAAACCCAACTTTACTACTTTATTTTTATCCATGATGATACAATTTGTTATATCTTAAAACATAAATTATCAATGAGGTCGAATACTTTATTTTAAATGAAGGCATCTTGCTTTCGCATACATGGGCGGATTAAACGCAACTCCTCTTTCAATTTCATGAAACAGCTTCTAATTCCATTATTCGTTAGACGTCATCTAAAAGTATAGCTTTTTTCATGTCCCGAACAATTGAAAATTGACTCTAGAATAAACAGTTTATTGGTTTCCACAATATCTCATTTTACAAAGAGTTATATTGAACAATGATTATAGTATGCATGTACATACAATACCGGTACACACTATTCAGTTGAACTTGTGACATAGAGGCGGAGCCTTGGGAAAAGCAGAGCTTGTTGTGGATAAGCTCCTTAAACTACAAATGACATAATTAACTAAAGTTAGGTTTAAATACAAATACACGCTAAAACAGGGAAAGCGTGATTACAGGCATACATGAACCGATACTCACAATTAACTACACAAGACAAGGGAAAGGGAGGGAATATATCAACAGCTTATTGAAACATGAGTACATTATGTTCTCAATAGAATATGTACATAGTTGGCATGGCCATACCACTTTAATTTACTCATTGTAATAAAAAAAAAGTATACAGCTTAGAGACAAAATAGTCAGGAATCAGGAATGACAATATGTATTCAAATAATGACATTTTAATTTTCTTCTGAATACATGAACACTTACAGACCTCCTGGAAGTCTTTTGTGGAAACTTTCTTTCTTTACTGTGACAAAACTCACACAGGTTCGGCTGAAAACACAACAACAATATATTTCTTCTCAAACACACTAAAGTTTGCTTCAAATTTCAAGAAAGCCTCTTTAGTGGTTTCAAACCACTGTTCAAGAAACCTACAATGTGCGTCATTTGAGAGAAGGTTTCCTTTTAAGTTCAAATTTCTTGAAAGCTTTGTTCGAATTCGATATTTGTCTTTAAAGGGATAGACCAGTTCTCGTCATGCAATTGCATTGTGAAATAAACGTTGAGGAATCGATCAGAAAAGGTTGATCATCTAGCATATAAGTATTGGTGTGTACTGCAAGGTTCTGGAATCATCAAAATGATGAGAAATTTGGCCCAGTCTTGGTAAAGTTACAAGCACTGTACACGGAAAGATGTTTATGGGACTACGTGATATCTATCCAGGCCGGGTCGATATGATTATTTGCCAAATATATTTAATAATTAGTGGACGGTTTCCCGGCAAATTTGTATCATCATGTATTAGCCAAAACATATTCTTTCACATGATTGCTAATAAGATCTTCCATTTCTTTTTTTGAGGGGGGGGGGCGTTTCCAAAACTGGTTTACTACCTTTAATAATCACAGGTTGAACCCGCGATACGGCCCATGAGACCGGCAGCATACGGAATCAACAGCCCAATTAACTTCCAACGTCGGTTTCACAGGCTTTCACACCACTTGTTTGTGGTCCACGAGACCAACATCCCACAAGTTAGACATAAGAGGCTTCCTATCTTCCCCTATGTATTTCTTTATTTTGTCGATCTCGCATTTATGAAAAAGGAAAGTGGCTCTAAAAAAAATAAAAAAATAAGGGATAGTATCAGAAGGATAAAAGGCACTTATTAGACAGACAAGGGGCATGTGTCAAAAAAGAGGGCCCTTATGAGACGTGAGAAGGGGCACTTATCAGAAAAAAACAGGAAACTTGTTAAAGTAACAAAACCATGTTTGATTTTTTTTTTTTTTTGTTTGTTTGTTGTTGTTGTTGTTTTTTTTTTTGGGGGGGGGGCAACTACCCTCTCCACCATCAGTAAGCCAGTGGAGACAAAAGAAATCAAATGAATGCCCCAGAAAGCACGACCTAGGAAGTTTTAAAGAATAAAGGCACATGACAATGGCCTCCCCTGTGAACAAACAGCACCTCAATACCGAGATAAAGGACGTACATAATACAATCTGCTCATAGACATGTCAGGTAATAGATCATGAAGAAAAATGAATAATGAATATTTTCGTAGCCTAAACAACTTGTCAAAATACTTTGTTCGCTTCATCTCAACTTGAAAATTTCGAAAAAACAAAGGATGGCATTTTAAACAAACTAATCACTCATCGTCATTGGTCATCAGATGTAGACATTCCAACGTTATGGGAAACAAATATCTTAAGTTGTATTCACAGTTTCAATTGTATCACTATATGATTTAAAATAAAATATTATCTCTAAATATAACTGTACACTAATCTACCTCCATCGCATGTCAACCAGGTTATCGATAAATCGGGGGTGTAATTAAATGGTAAACCCATCTCTCGGGTAAAATAAATCATCTCCATCTATTGAGTTCACGACTTCAAGAGCGGACTATGAATAAACTGGTTCAAGTTCGGGCCCGACTCGGGGCATAGCATTCTTTGGCAAGACTTCAAATGTCTGACTCCATTTTGCACACCCTTACTTCCCCAACGAGAAGGTTGGTACCTGAAAGGAAAGGTAAACGTCTTTTACGACAGTCAATATGCCATTACTGTGCTGTATGCGTGTGAAGAGAGCAGAAATCGACTTTAGACATACTCCTAAGAGAGTGGAGATGGTGCGCATAATGCACAACAGGGAAACATCATTCCCGCCACACCCTGCGTACTTTTAGCTACAAAAGTGTAAAGACATTTAACAAAGTAAAATTGTTACCACATTCAAAAAGAAAACATTTCTTCATTGTGGTAACTTTTGCAACTTTACAAACGGTGAAAAAATATAAATGCATCCAACTGTAAGCTATTTTTGAAATAGATAAATCTTTTTCCTATAAAATATGATCTTTGACAACAAAATAACAACTCAACTTTTATCGCTATAGTATGACTAATATAAGTATATCTTTGAACTGGGAGTTAGACACTAATAAACAGAGTCAATAATTTATTCGACACCTAATGTATATCATATTCTTACATCAGTGAACACCATCGTCGGTATAGTCACGTTATTTATAAGAAATCGTGACAGTAATTAATTCAAGAAACTCTAATAACAAGACAAATATTGTACAATGCAAAGTAGCTCGCTATCGAACATAAAAAACGAATAGTTAACATCGTTTTCATAAAAAGTCATGTCTTTTAAATCAAGATTCTATCGTGTTTCTTCTATTTCGAGACCGAAGGGGGTAAGGAAGAGTAATACAAGTATTAAAAACGAAGGAACCCGGGAAGATTGTTAAAGAAGGAATCCGATTGGTCAGTGAGCAAGAGAAAGTGAATGACGTCACAAATAAGGTCTCACCATGTCATCAGGATTAACTTCTTATTTGATATCGGCAATCGCGGAACGAAACACAACCTGTAGACGTTGAGCTGACACACTGGAGACTCTACACCTGTTCACTAACTATTATTCATTCTACACTCTAGCAGCAGCAGTAGCACCGGTCGACCCAGCTATAAAATGATTCGATGGAGAGTTATACTAGGACAGTGTGTTTATGTCGGACTGCCGACAAGTGCTTGCGCTGCCCCTCCTCATGCTAGTTGTTCCAGGCTGCTCTTGTTAGCTGTATATTCTTGCTTCTTGAAATTGTACGCGCTCCGTTGTTTTGTGGACTTTATCCAAGTTCGTATTCATCGAGATGGCTACGTTGTCGAGATCATGTCAGCTTCTTGTAGCAGCGGTCCTCATCGTCGCCACGTTCGTCAGCATCGTGGAAAGCTCGAGGAACACTCGCCCCTACGCCAGGCCACGGGGAAGCAGTCGACACCTCGGGAATCTTCGATATGGGACGGAAGGTCGCCGAAGGTCTCAGGACCCGTTCAGAACTCCAGGCTTCATCCCCAACCCAGCACCTGAGCTACCATCAGCCACACGAGTCAAGAACGCAGGAAACTGGTTCCAGAACTTCATCGCCAGCAAACATGCCAGCAACAACCCGCCCAACTCAGGCCCAGAGCATTCAACCGACCATGGTGCTGGTGACCAGGAAAAGGTGGTCGTACGTCCACCTATCATCAAATCAGGATCCGTTGTCACTAGCCCAACCATCACCATGATTTTCCTTGAGACCATTGATGCCAGGAAGAGGAATTCATCAAGATTTCAACAACCCACACAACCTGAGAGATCTCAAGAGGAGGAGGAGGCGGTGACTAACGAAGCTACCACACTCCCAAGTAACCCGAGACCAAGTAGAAGAGCATTCACTGCTGATGAACGTGAGTTTTATAGGACCAGTTAGTCCCTAAATCGTTTGATGATGTTTCTTTCTATATTTCGTTGGTCAAAAGTTGGATTAATCATATGTCGATTCATCTTATTCGTCATGAAAACAAGTAACTGCAAAATAGCAACAACAAAAAATGAAGGCGAGTTTGTTCCTAAATAATGTGATGATGTTACATTTAAGTTGGTTTAAGTAGAAACGCCTCATATTGCTCTCTTTTCTCCTATCTTACTAAATTTACTGAAAAACAACAACTCCAAAATCAACGTCTTTTGTATCTTTATGTTTTCCTTACATTTGGAGAGAATAACATTTTGAAAAGCATAGTTTATCACTTGATCACAAAACCAAGACCCAGCAGACGACATAACATGAAGGTGTGTGAACATTATACTTGATTATAGTTTATGATATAGGAAAGATGTCTGTGACTTGCTTTGCACAAGAATATGTTATTGCAAATTAATTAACTTGTACTACACCTACGATAAGACTGCGCGATCATACAATTGATTTATTCTGTCAAAAAATAACTATTTCTTCATCTTTTAAAATATTCATTAATTCTATTTCCCGCCAAAGGGAGAGAAAAAAAACATACATGTAGGGCAGGGACTTGTTACATATAAAAGTCCTTGTATAGAGGCCAATTAAGAAAGATTTAAGAGCAACTACTGTCCGGGGAACAATCACTTTATGAAAAAGGTTTTCCAACATACCGTTTCGTCTAGACACTATAAACAAAAGCTTTTATTGGAATAATTCACGACCAAAGACCTAAACAATTGTAACACTTTATTCATACATATAGCATCCAGGTGTACCATACCAATAGAAAATATATGTATCATTGTTATAAACAGCAAAATGCCACCACTTTTTTTTTAAAGCCCAGATAATGTTTAGAAGCGTTCATGTCTATTTCAAGTCTTCGCAAACAACATTGTCCATTGTTGTATTGTTAACAAAAAGGTATAATCTGTTTTAAACGTTTTTTTTTTCTTGTAAAAGGACATAATCTGATGAGTTAAGAAGAATTCGTGCCTATTTTTGGTCTTCGCAAATAATTATTTTGTACCATTCATTGTTAAATTTAAGACAGTATGCACACAAGTTGTAGATAAGTGTAAAGGCATTCATGTACAGTATATATGTTTAGGTCTTGGCAAATAATGGTTATCTTTAATGTAATGGCGCAATCTTGTCAGTAGATAATCGACGTTTAAGTTGCGGGCTCCCCTGCAATAATTTGTTTAGAGTTTGTGTGTATCCTAAAGGAAAACTCAGATGATTGCGTTGCCCCCTCCAAGTTCGGAAGATGGATTGAAACTCCTCTCTGTAAGCACTCTCGATAAAAAATAAATTAAAGTCTCTCCATTCCAAAGAATACTATTCTCTAGATAATTTTAAAGTTTTTAAAAATTCTTGGCTTAGTTTAGAGCCGGGGTAATTTTGAAGCTCCTCGAGCACTTTGCATGATGGCTAGTAGTGCTACAAATGTATCCAATGTTATTATTATTATCAATATCATCATCGCATCTTTATTCTCCTCCTCCTCATCATCATTATCGTTATTACGATGTAGTATGGTGTATGAACTTATAGGTTTTATTCATGTTTTGAAATAAATTTGACTCTATTTCACTCAATTATTCTAAATGACAATACCTGTAATATTTACCATTGAAATGTATTATACAAAAATAAAGCAACGAATTTTATTTGGCCTTTATGCAGGAAATATAAGAAATGTCTAAAATGTTGTTTGTCAGGAAGGTTTAAAAAAAAAATACATGTCCTGCCGTCGAAAGTTATAAGAATAGATACATCAAGTCTTAAAAGCTCCACTTCCTCAATTAATCTCTGAAAAAATGTGAATAGACTGTTTTAAATATAAAGGAAAACAATATTTATTCATTTATTTATTCATTCTTTCATTTATTTATTCATTTATTTTTGCATTCATTTAAAAAAAAAAATTATTTATGTATTATTTATTTATTCATTTATTCATAGTCTGTCTTCTGGAAATATAGAGAAGTCTCCTTCTGTGTTAAAAGAATCCCGCTTCACAAGACAGCCCTATAGGCATACACTATAATATGGTGTCAAATTCTAGGAGTACACTAATGAGATAATATCATTTGACAAAATTCAAGTGGTAAAAGATTTATTAATAATAATTCCCATCTCAAAGTGTGATATTTGACGAACGTTTGATGGAAAATAAGTGAATAATAGGTTAATTTATTGCTCAACTGTTTTAATTGAAAATGTCCAGTAGGCGTTTTAAATGCTATCATTCCAATTGCAAAGAATAGATTTAAAAACAAGTAAGATCCTGACCTGAACAGATACTCACTAACCATTTTGTTTATTTTTTGTCCTTTTGTAAACCCAATAAAGGTTGTACATTTCGAGTAAAGTGTGATGGAAGTTTAGTGTTTGTAAATTTTATGCAAGCGTTAAAATGATGAATGGAAACAGTAAAATGCTTTAATTATTTCAGGAATATTTTTGTTTACAGTATACTCACGTACAGATTACACAAAATAATTTGTCATAGTTTGTACGATGATCGCAAATATTTCTTTCGAGACATAAAATGAAGGCCATTTTCAATACCCTACATGCTTGTCATATCCCATCGAAATTATGTTCGAAGTACGCAGAACCTCTCTGTAGTGTTCGATATAACGAATTCACTACATCTATGCGAATGTGAAATTGTCTTTATGTCCTTATTCTATCAATACATGTACTTGTAGGAAACAGAATCACCTGATGTACATGTATTGATAGAATGTAGATTAAAAAGGTGTGTATTTACTACGCTGTAAACACACATGTTTGGCCATAATACTCTGCAATAGTTGATGACGATTCTCCCATTTGTCGTTTAAAAAAGTATCATTAATTTCTGTTCTTCTCCGATATAAGCGTACTACTCAAAATATTGTGGATAAGTTATTAATTTATGAATATATTAATTAAACAAGATTTAAACAGAATTATATCTTCGATAAGTTAAAGGTTCTGTAATGCAAATACAATATTGAGCACGTGAGACTATGATCTATCAGTGATGTGAGCAAAACAATTTTCATGTATTTTATACATCGGAGCAATACAATTAATGAATGATTATTATAATGGGTCCTCTTAAAAGAAAGGACCATCCCGAGTCAAAAAAAAAAAAATTGACATGTTTTTATTCTTCCCAGACTTCACCTACATTTTCGTTTGAGTCTGATACCCGTTTTGCCTCTGGCAATTTCGCGTTCCTCTACCCACATAGCTTTGTGTATACACATCTCACTTGTTACTTCTCTTTCTTATTCTCTTTCTATCACTTTATCTGTATATATATATATATATATATATATATATCCCTGTATGAAATTTTCTATCTGAATTCGTCACTCGACTATTATGTCCATTTTCCATTATTTTGCATACTATTGCTTTACACGAATTTTCCTTCTCTTTCTCTTTCTATCTCCTTTTCTCTTTTTCTCTTTCTATCTCTTTTTCTCTTTCCACCTGTCTCTCTTCCCCTTTCGTTCTCTATCTCCCTATCACCATCTCTCTCTTTTTATATAGATCTCTCTATATCTCTATTTTTCTCTGTCCTTTGACATGAACCCCTCTCCCCCTCTCTCTCTCTCTCTTCCCCTTTTGTTCTCTCTCTCTATCACCATATCTCTCTCTCTCTTTTCTCTGTCCGTTGACTCAACCCCCCTTCTCTTTCTCTCTCTTTCTCTCTCTCTTTCTCTCATTCTCTCTGTCGACCGATTGTCCTCTCTGTCTGACCTTGTGTTCCTGTCTGAAGTTCAGAGGGCGTAATAAGAAATATTTTCGGGGAATCTTACCAGGTGGCATGCGTCTTCAGATCGAGAAAGAGCATGTGGAACACATTGATCAAAATGACAGTTATGTTCCTCAATAAAAAACCGGACACGCGTTTTGTCTTTTTGGTTCCTTCTCCGGAAATATACCTTTCAGAAAGTAGGTCCGTGATACCATCAATAACCGAGCGTTAGTACTTTTTGTTGACATATTTAGTTTGTTGGATATTAATAATGGTATTTTTTCTAAAATAGTTTAATGTTTCCTACCGTGTTTTTATTTCTTTAATAAAATGTGGATATGAGTGGAGATCGAGCACCAGGCGATGAGTTAAACATTCCTTTTCCATCATAATTCTACTCCATAAATTCATGAATTACAGGGATTGTCAAAATCCCGACATCAATGCGAAAGAAACTGGGGCAATGTGAAATCGTTATGTTTCATATATGGCTCATAGGTAAAAACATCTTTGTTTTGATGAATCTCGATTACATGAATTATGTTTTCCTACTTTTCTGTTGGTATTAATCAAATCTAAATGCGTCCGTTGTTTGGTGGTTTGGTGAATAAATACCACATTAGTTTCTTTATGAAGTCGTTTTTATCGCAATTGACATTCGAAATTATTTGAGAAGATTTATCTTGGAAAACACTAAAATACAATCAATTGTATACGTGCAAATGTAAATCTTGATCAAAGTTTGAATAAAATCAGTTAGTATTTTAAATGTCATAAATGTGATACTAACATTTACCAACTTGCACTATTCATCCGGGCACTCTATAATACGACAACTGGAAGAAGAACAACCATAACCATTAATACATTAATAAGTCAGGGTTGATGTAGCAATTTGTTTGAAAACAGTTGTTCTTTAAGTGATTTTTGTAGCTGCATAGAAATAATAGACATATTGATGAAGTTCGAAGGTTGGAATGTTAACTTCCTGATCCATGCAACCCTGTACTATCATTAAACCAGAACTGCTCTAAATAAGGCGTATACGTCACAGTGTGGGGAATATTGAATGAACTATAACACGTATACATATAGATATATATTACTTTTGGGGGGCAGCTGAAGTCTTTTAAGACACCTATGGGTAAAGTTAAAAATCGAATTACTTGTGACTCGTTTGGCTTGTTGTAAAATGTTAAGCCAACTTGTTGCCAAATTTGGTTTGGCACTTGAGTGTAATACCGTACTACTCAGAGGAGTTCTGTATTCTGTTTTCTGCTTTGTACTACGTCCGCAACTGGTTATGATATACGTTTCCTCACCAGACAATAGCCGAAACAAAATTAAAGATAAATTAACTTAATTACGTATTTCATTTCAGATGTAATGTTAAACAGTCCATCTTATTGTCTGGTAAATAAATGTCGTCATTCATGATATGGAAGCAATGATGATGAACATTTTAATTCATTCTTCAGCAATACACTAGGAATAAATGATTTATAGGCAAATACAAATACCAATCAGTTTAAAGATATATTCTATGAAACGTATATCAAGTTTTCCCATCTTGGCTCCGTAATGGAGTTGCATTTTAGGACGATACTCCCATCTTACTCTTTAAGTAGCTTAAGCCCAACCTCTTTTTTTTTTTAAACATCGTTTTCCAAAGATGTGTCATTTCATTTTGTTTCTTTAATGAATTTTCTTTGCTGAATATGATAATAAAAACGATACTTTACTTTGCACCACGTTTAAAATGAATATGATGAAGTTTCCCGAGTTCTTGATTTCCGACTTGATATGAATTTCATCTTTATTATTTTGTTCTTTCACCTCCGCAGTCCGTATCCAGTGCGGAGGACCGAACGAAGCAGGCCTTACCGATGAATGCTACCGATTCGAACTGCCCGCCGATCTTAACAACAACGCCGTCGTTATCAGCGGTGCGGTCGTCCTCTTGCCGGCGGGAAACCGTTTCCCTGCTCCCCGTCAGAGAACCGTCCATCACAATGTCACTATCGTAGCTAAATTCCCGACATCAGGAGAATGTAAGAGAATCAACTAAAATTTCGCTCTAAAAAAAATAACCAGTGTGATAACAAAAAAAAGGAGAACAAAAATTGTACGCAAGAAATAGTTAAAATTCTAATGCCGGTTGTACACGAGACGTTTTACTGACGTATGACTTTGTCAGGTTTCTATGTGATAGTAAAATCGTACGAAGAGTGAGAACAGAATGGAGAGGGCACCCTTGGCTTTTAATAACTAGCATATACCCAAATTGCTTTCGTCTTGATAAGCTTGTGTAATGACACAATCAAAATGGCGCCTCGTCTACAAGAGGCATGCCAGAGATGTATATAACCTCTAAGGAAGAGCAATTTCCAATTAACAATTCCTCAAGTCAACCTAAAAATCAAAGAGAGAAATTTGGTAGGTCAATCTCAAGCATAAAAATCTATATCACAAATGTACACGAATAATTTTGTATTATCAGTATTTTGTATAATTCTTAATATATTGTTTAATTATTTAATTATTTATTTATTTATTTATTTAATTATTTCTTTTTTTCCTTAATTATTTTCTTTTTGCTATTCTGCAGATGCCTACAGAGAGAGTATTTCTGTCCAGAACATCTCCTACGACATACCTTGGAAATGGAAGAGTGCTTCCCTCCCACAAGGCTCTTCCCTCGTTTCTCGCGCACTCCAAGAAGACAACACACTCCTTCTCAAACTCTCCGTCATCAGCAATGACAACGGACAACCAACCACCAGTAATTTCATCCCTATGGAGTCCAACATGCTTCCCGTGCTGGTGGTCGACATCGAATTCAATGGGACGGATTCGTCAACGACCTCATCGACGACGACGACAGCGACATTGCGTACCACACAGGCCAACGTGCTGGAAAGACAATTACGGAAGCGAAGGACAGTACTGCGCGCCACAGAAGACACTCCACCAAAGTAGGTACAATCAAATTAAAATCATGTGGTTGAATGAACATGTAGCACCCGGATAAAGCTCTAAAATATAAGTCTAACTTCTGGATCGAATTTAAGTCAATATTTCCATTAATAGCTCTTGAATTTTAGGGTCGCAACCAAGAACGCCTATACCATCAATTAACAAAGCTATGCAATTTGTTTCATTTCGGTGATAATGTCTATGCTGTTATGATGTCTTACTGCATCCTTAAAGAACAAATAGGCCTGGCTTCTTTCCTTATTTCCTATAATAAGAATTGTTACTTTGTTTATTTATCTCCATCGGAAAGTATGCTTTTATGTCTCAACGTAGAGAGCGAGACTTATTATGGTCCTAAAAAAAAATCACGTATTCAACTTAAGGGTTTATTTTTGATCCATTCTTCTTGTTATTTGCAGCAACACAGTGACATGCTCAGGGTATCCGGGATGCTGTCGTCGGACGATGGATGTTTCATTCTCCGATCTGGGTTGGAGTTGGATGGTTGCACCTCGAAGACTTACAACGAGTGTTTGCATCGGATCGTGTCTCGCACCAAACATGACCTTCGAAAGCTTTATGGTCAATCTTATGCAGGGCCATGGGCGTCCATCGTCAAGAGATGAGCGCAGATGCCGTCCGTCGCGCACCGACCATTTCGACGCGCTCGTGATCAACGAAGATGGCGACATCCAAATGATGAGATTGCCCGACTTCATTGTCCGCGAATGCGCATGTGCTGAAAATCAGAGGGAGACCAAGGTACCCCCTGTAGCGCCGACTGAGGGTAAGCACGTGTAGGACTCCTTTAAGATGCGCACGTCCAGATAAACGGGTATTTTTATAATTCATAATCTCATTTTGATAGCCACCCACTGTAAAGAAAAACAAAAGCAGGGGTGATTACGAATGAAGTTTACCTTAGTTTTGAATAAAATTAAACTTGGAGATTTAGAAGAGCATTACAAACTAGATCCAACGAATTTTTAAAGTTAATTTATGTCCTGCGATGACGCTTTATTTGGTACGTACTTAATATTGAAGGGCTAGACAAATTTATTCCTTCTTTTTAAAACTTTACTTTACCTTTCTCTAATAATGCTCGAGTGATAACTGTAAAAGGAGTTTTGACAAGATACGATTTCTAATTGAAATGATGTAAACATGTAAGCAATAAAGTGATCCTTAATCATATCCCTTGAAAAGTGGGTTTTGTATATCTCTACTTCACGAAAACGTAGAAAGGCATGATGAAACATTCTGGTTGTCAAAAGGTTGGATCAACCCTCGACCGATTGTTTTCTAGGTAATTCGATCAGCAGTAAACCCGAATTAGAAACGGCGAGTTGCCTCAATCTTATGTTCGAAAACCTTGAACTATGAGTTCTATCACACGTCATACCATGAATGATGAGAAAAACTGATTTTGTAAAGGTCAAAAACATACTGAGTAGGCTTGAACTTTAAAGTGATTTTTATGGAACGAGTTACCTTTTTGACGTAATCGAAGGGGTGTCGTTTTGTAAAGGAATTGTTTCTTATGTTGGCTTAGAATATGAGAAAATTATTCCAAAAGGTTTCCAGAAAAATCAAAGTGTTAGGAAAAATAGTCAACGTTACTGTGGGAAACATTCAAAGTCCATTTCCCAAAACAAAAAGTAGGCCTGTAACAAAAATCGCAGTTCATATCAGACTGGAATAAATCAAAGAAACTATCATATGATGAGTAGCAGGAGTAATTTAACAGTAATTCCAAGTTATTGTCACCATTCATACAATCCTGTTTTCCATAAACCTTGTGACTGATTTTTCAAAGTTTATTTTCAAATATTGAATAATACGTACAATTTGCCAAAATTTTTGTTGTGACAATATCGTTTATTTAGTGTTATCATCGAATTTCAGGATCTAGTATTAAGTGAAAGCATAATGAGTAGAAAATATATTGTTTTCTGTAATAATTGCTAAAGGAGGAAGATTTGATCTAAATTCCTAATTTTAAAAAGTCACATTATTATTTCTCACATTTACATTTGATTTACCTAACAATTAGAGTCCTGTGATATTATTGATTTATATAAAATTGTTCTAATACTTGAATGATAATGATGGTCATACTTGATTGTATAAGTCAATAATAGCACTTATTTGCAAACTTTAGAAACAGAATATAGGAATGTTTTTTGGTGAAGTTTTCTTTTAAATGTATTATGTCCACAGATAGTTCGTGTTTATTTATGAATAGTTTTTAAATAGTTTTTATGTATGAAATGAAGACGGAACCAAAGGCTTTTTGGTAGTGAGAATCAAATTTATATATTCAATCGGACATTTAAAATGTAGACAATGAAGCATGTAACGCAGAGAATATCAGTTTGCTTGAAAGAACGTTTACTCTTATGGCAAAATGCACATCATGCTAGCTTTTTACATGAGCGCGCATCATTGTACAGCACTGTCTAAAATTTCTAATGATAAGAACAAAACAAAACTGATAAACAAATGAGGAAAAAAAATAATTTCATTTTAATCCCAAAGAAAATGCAATTACTCTCTGCTTGTAACCAAAATCCATATCACTGCAAATATCATAAAGGTTTAAATGAGCACTAATATCAAGGAGCTATAGACGGATTGAATCATGAACGAAAAAAAAAGGGATTTGCCGTTGCAGCAAGAAATTTGTGACACCAAAACTGTATTGCTTACCCTGTACATATAGCACCTACATTTCAGGCACACAATATTTAATTAACTCCTGTGAATAAGGACCCAGTATTTCTTATATGTCAATAAGTTACCCAAGTTGCCCTACCATAAAATCAGCGCATGAAGGCATGTTCACTTTTCATTAATGTCCATGCTCTCAGACCTACCTCATTTAAGCTATTATTCAAAGCCCTGATGTATAGTCAACATAAATCCCACTGTAACGTGTAAAGATCTATGTGGTATATAAACATGTCATATGTTTAACCATGTACAAGCAAACTTAATCTGAATTTATCCTTAATCCATTTGATAACTAATAACTAACAGTGACTTCGATCTTAGGGATTTTTTTTCTTTGGAAGAACGCATTATGCTGATATTACAACGCGGTGTAAATAGGATTGATATAAAGTGTCAAACTGATGTATAGTTGAACTGGAACTTCGAGACCGTGCCTTATATTTGCCATATCTTACAAAGACTGACATTTATACGGACATCATGCATGTCAATTGACGTCTCACACGAACACATTCGTTATCGGCATTTTAACCATCGAAACGAGCAAGTCTGTAATAAGCACGTACACCCGAGCGTACGCAGTCACCTTCCTCTCTCGTGCGATGTGTATTACAGTCAGTTTCTCGACACCCTCAAAAGTCTAAGTTCATGGACATCTTATAAAAACGCGTGTTAATTCCATAACACACGTTTCAACAGGATATCCAAGAAGTAGTTATGACGGTTTCGAGAAACTACCCCCTGGATTTCACATAAATTGTTGGCGTGACGTTCATTGCTCAGTGGAACTGCTCGTTTCGCATAATTTGAAAAAAGCTAATATTTATATCTATATCCACCCCTGATGGTGCTCAAGGCGCCTAAAAGTGCTAGTATACCCTGGTCTTTAATGCTTTTTTCTATTGGTCACATTACCTTTAATATCGTATTAAAAAAACTAAAAGCAGGTTTTTGAATTAATACCAATCATTTGTATAAAACAGAATATAAAAATATAATACTTCAAATATTATTCTAATGGAAATGTGGACAAACATGGAACAATTTGATGTAAGAATAGGACATTGTTATAGTCTAGCAAAATAAGGTAGGCCTATCGTAACGTATAGTTTAAGATTACTTTTTCCCTAAATGGTCATGATCAAATATAGTTTCCATCTAACGAGACTCGGCCTGGAGAGTTGATAAGGAATTTGGCTCGAAAAGGATTTTTGTTTGGTCTCGAAGTCTACGGTAGGCCATATGCTGTATTAATACAAATTACGGAACTCTTTACTGCATAGCATTGGCAGTACAGCTCTATATCTGATGTAGCATCACACATATGTTATCTAAATCATGTCGAAATATACTTGGAATTGTTTGTCACTGATTTCAAACGTACTTATATCGATTGTAGCTATAATAGCCATAGTCTCAGTCTTGTAGTCCCTCTACCTCAAATTGCTGTACGAAACATATAGTGGACAAAAATGTAACGCTTTTGCCAACTAACACGAAAACTGCTGCGCTATGTTTAGACGAATGAGCCTGTATAGTCACTTCTATTTCGCTTAGCTATAAGAACCGAAATTATGAGAGTAATACAAGAAACGAAAACAAAAAATCAACAAATGGCATTCATCGATCCCTTTGCAGACAATACATAATTAAAAATAAGAAGTAAATATCTAGTAAAATATATTAAAAATCGCTGCTAATCTTTCCATTCATGCCACTAGCTAATTTGTTGCACAACTTAAGGAGCTGGCCGTTTTAGTTTGGGGGTCTTCAGTATTATTTTAATAAAAGTAATAATAATTAAATAATAATAACAACAATGATTATAATAATGATTATAATAACAGTGATAATAATAATAAAAATAATAATAGTAATTATTACCAAAATGAAAATACGTCTTGTTTTAAACCGAGGGTAATATTGTTCTACCTACCAGCCCTTCAATCATAAGGTGCTCAATCATTCAGGCAATTTCCTCCTACTGGGCCCATTTACTACACATTTGCTAAAGGACATTAGTCTAAATGTTGATAACTACCATGTTAAGTTTTTACAGTTTGTCCTGATGATTTCATAACTGCTTTTTCACAAACGTGATTTATGAATTGAAAATATTTACTCTTTCAAGTACAACACAATTCTTTTTACAACGGTCTTTTGTCTATGTTCTCTTCTATGTATCTGATACCTGATGTTGTATTTCAACAGTTTGTAACATTTGTATCATGGCACCCAAATAAAACCCATTGCAAATAAAAGAACGTTGTTCGTTGTTTGTCTTAGTCTTGTGAATCGCAGGATGAATAATGAGTGATATATTGAATCTAGTTGAGGATATTTCAATACAAACGGTTAGCCAGTACGTACTGGTTAAACAAACATTTTTACAATTTTGATCGTTAAAAGCTCAACAGTTAATCTTGTAAAAACCTGAAGCTGTCATACTTTAATGAGTTTATTTCGAATAAGTTTCATAATGTATTAGAATCTTTAGTGGAATTTACTTTTTGAAAAAATTAAGCCATGAAATTCGTACCAGGGTATCAAATCAGCTTTTACTACAAATCAATATTAATAGATGGATGGCATATGGTGGCAAAAGGTGAAGTGTAATGCATATTGATTTTTTTTTTTGGCACGGACAACAAAAATATATTTATCATTACCCCTTGTCATTATACACAGACTTATAAATTATGGTTGAAAATATCACAACGAAGAGCCATTTTAGGGCTCAACACCTGTTGGTGTCTTACTTTGTTTAAATTAATGTTGTATAGAATGTTTTAGACTTTAAATACATCATTCTCTTTACAAGTAGAATTCAGTGTTAAGTGTTGGTCCCATATCAGGGATATCATCACGAAGCATTCTGAAATAGGTCCCTCAAAGTGTAAGTGGAAAAGGTAGTAAGTATTGGTGTACTGCTAACCGGTTATGTTAAAGGGATAGTCGAGTTCTGTTGCAGAGGGCGCTACACAAAATAATTTGTTGCGAGATAATGAAAAACTGAGTGTCCAATTTGAAAGAACAAACAATTTAAATGACAAAATCATCTTTGTTTGATGAAAATCGGTTCAGAGATGGCTGCAATATCCATAAATATAACGATTTCTAATACTTGTGTACCACCACAAATATTAGATAATATGAAAAAGCCGTTGAAAAAACGAAATAGCGCCTATTATGTCGTATTTCAGCCAATGCTGATGTTGGGTTTTTTGTTGGCAATTTCGTGTTGGTTATATTTACGCACAACCAGCCGGCCCATGTATTGTTATTTTTAAGTAAATAATTAATTAACGGTCACCGTATCTTTTTAAAAGTGGAGCTGAATTGGTGTGATTGTATTGGCTACATTTCACATATTTTAGGTCTAAAATTACCCTCATAGCAATCTTAGGTTCTAAAAGGGCACTATAAATGTCATAGATAAGAATAAGACCAATAACCATGCACTTTGCCGTCTGAAAACAGTACTCAACTATCCCTTTAAAGCATTCAGAATCATTTTCCTCAGATCGGTGGCATATCTCATGCCTAAAAGTCAGGAGCCAGCTTTTATAGTTGAAGTTACCGTTACCATTGTTGTGAAAGGCCGTTTACGATACCCACTCTTCAAAAAATACTACTTGAAATTTTGTTATGCTCACTTTTTCATCTCCACTGAATTTGAGAAAAAGGGTGAGGACATTTTGACAACGCTGCCAACTTGCAAAGGATATTTAGGTCTACTTGAATGGGCCATTCTGAAAAAAATTACAAGAATGATATGGAAATGGGATATTGATATTTTTTTAAAGCCTTTAATGTATCATTTTCATATTTCAGTACGCAAATATAATGTACTAAATATCAGGGGTACGAGTCAGCCTTGACGTTATAGTTCCAAAATGGAGTTCAAAGATTGATCGATTGAATGATGGTTTATGAATTAACCAAGTGCTCTATTGGCCAGAACATTTACATGTATTTACAAATTAGAAATAAAATGAAAACATGGACAGACCCATTTCACTTTTGTTTATTCATCTGGACGGATGCATTTATTTCAAAACTTTCAGTCCTTTTTTAGATTCACAGCAAATTGCAATGCATATATATATAATCAAGGTAATAGATGGCTTAAATTAGTTATTTCGGAATGTGTTACCATATACATCGTATCTTTGTATCTACAAAATATGCAACGATATTGAAATATCAAGGTACAGAATGTCACACACTGCAAGACAAAGGAAATAATTACATATACTATAATTCAACTTTGTAAAAAATTATGCTTCTAGTATGGAATTCCTATTAGAATATATTATATAGTTTGGACGGAATGTTACGCTAGGAACACAATCAATGATTGATAACAAATTAATATTAAGTATCATGTTCCCGGCGATCATAGCTGCTTCGATCTTCAATACATTTTATCTTGTACAGTCCACATCTGTTATTGAATAGAATCTTTGAATCTGGACAAAGTAGTGAAAGGTCCTGGCATATACTTTTCAAGCAATTTATATTAAAGTATCAGTTATTTATATTAAATAGCATTAATAATTCCAAATAAAATGTTTCATATATAATATGAAATATATTTTTTGCTGTCATTTTAGCGTTTCGACTCTAATTTAACACCAACATACACTATCAAATAAAAATCTACATGCCGGTGTGGAAAATGTTATACTGACTTATAACCACATCAAACGTATACTGAAGTTTAATCACATCAAAGGTTCTATATAAAAACAAATGAGAAATATGACAAGATAAACAGTAAAATGAAAGGTTTTAAAATGTATAGACAAGTATTTATAAACTAAGATATTGTGTATCGCCTTCACCATATTGAGTATTTATTTAAATATAAACAAATTGGTGTAAATTTTCAGTTCAATATAAAGATTTGGAAAAAAACCCAAGAACTATAGAATGTGAAATGTGCATGATTGAGTTCTTCTTTACTAATGACAAAGGTGTGTAAAACTAGAAGGCACTGCAAAAAATAAATACAGAATTTCTTTTTGAAAGGACAAGGCAGTGTGGTCCTTGCAATACCGAAGAAAAAAACAATAACAAAAAAAGCACATATACATTTAATTTTCTAATAGCTAATGTTAATTTGGATAAAAGAAATATCTGTATGAGATCTAGTATGCGGTGATAAATACATGCAGGAAAGCACACACACACACCCACACCCATATATAACAAAAGCCTAGGTATAATATTGTATCACGTAAACACACACACACACACACACAAACACACACCCACACTTAGGTGTACATAAGCACAGTCCTGTAGTATAGCAATGCATATTAATACACAACACAAGATTACAAAACTGCAGTGTAGTGTAATAAGGCACATAAACACACACACACACACCCACGCATGGTTACCAAAATACAGTCCTGTAGTATAGCAACGTACATTGATACACCCACACAAGGAATCCTCATTTTTAGACTGTACGGAGGAAGACGCAATTTACGGACAATGCTCAGACCCACACTAGGTTATACAAACTGTATTGTAGTGTAATGAGGCACATAAACACACACACTCACACACCCACACATGGGGTAACAGAAGAATAGTCATGTACTATAGCAATGCACATTGATACACCCAAACAAGGTTACAAAACTGCAGCATAGTGTAATAAGGCACATAAATACACACCCACACCCACACAATGAAGCCCAATTTCAGTATCATAATAGAGCTATGGATAAATGCACAATACTCAAACCCACACACACGTTTACAAAACTGCATTCCTTTAGTTTAATAACACACACCCACACAGGCACAAAACACACACACACACATGCCTCCAAATAAACACCTACATAAGTCAGAGTAAATTAAATTGCAACATGAGGGGAAAAACAATTTCATACATCTGCAAATATCAAACAAAGCTTTGGAGAATATATATGGTAAAATTACAAAAAGGAATTGGCATCATCAACATTATTATTCAAAATGACAACCTCAGAAATGGCTTCAAAGTTTTTGTTCAAACTTTAAAGCAATCTAAATGAAGAATAGGTTAAACTTTATACATGTGTATTTAGAAAAGGTTGAATAACTTATTATGATCTTTTCTGGTCAAACATCCGATATTATATTGAGACAGCATAATGCATTCCAGTATTCAAGCCCTTTCTCTGTAGTGATATCAATCTCTTTTAAACATACAATATTCATCTAAAGGAAACACTCTAAATGTTTGCAAGAATGTTTGGAATCCCTTCAGTATTATGGAAAACCAGATTAAATCCTCCATTGAGCTTGTAATTTAGTACGCATAAGCCTCAAGCCTCAAGACTTCCCCATTCTTCTCAGAGTGGCAAAATCTGGCAACATTTAATCTTATTAAGCATGTATAAATGTAACATGCAATTTTGCAGTACAAAACTCATACACAAATGGCAATCATAAGCATGTTGGGAAGAATGTACGGTTAACAACTGAATTATTCATACCTCTTGTAAATTTGATATTTTGTGTGCTTTCCTTACTCAAGAATGATAGGTGAACTGGTTAAACGTAAGCTTTAATATGTCACATTCTCATAAAACATAAATCAAGACAAATCAATTTTTCACGCACCCTGAAAAAAATACAAAATTTGGTAAGGGTATGAATAATTTGGTTCAGTAACTTTAGGTCAACTTTGGAAAAGCCACATTCTTTTTACAAATAGGGTTCAGAAGTCTTGCAAATTTCATATTATGTCTTTGATAGTAACATATTTTCTGTTTGGAGCCAGAAAGTTATCAACTTATGCACTTCAACACAGAATTAATATTAGTCACATTTGTATAGTGCTTTAATACTACATTTATAAGTGCTTTTTATTGTAACTATTATTACCGTGGTCAATGGATTCAATCGCTATTCCGCATATGATAATGCACGCACTCCACTCCATGGGGAGTCTTCCCTGGGGTTAATTAGACCCTTTGGATGATAGTTTGAGTCATTTTGTGTTAAATACACAGAGAGTGGAATTTGATACTTGCCCTAACAGAAAGGTAACAAAATTTGCCACTTTGAGATTTCCATATTTTATGAGTTTATCTGATAAAAAAAGGCATAGATTTATAATAGTTGGGCTGTCCCTGTTGGCTAATGGGAGAAATTATAAAAAAGCATCACATACATGTAAGCCATGGAACTTATGAGCTCACTGCATTACAGATACTACTCCAATTAATTGACTACATAATTTTGTCAGTCCAGTAGGTTTTATAATTGAACCATCCAATGACTATACTTCTATGGAATGGGTTAAGGAGAAAATGACGATTTCAGAGAGGTAGGATGTCATCACAACCGAACACTTTTCACACTGGTCTGGGTCGTGGTGTACTCGATCAAGCATATAGGTATCACCTGAAGGTGATCAAAGATCACATACTCGTTGCATTTGCTTGGTGTGGCCAAATCATGTGCACCATCTCCACTACTAGGGCTCATAGCTGAAAGTCTCCCTGGTGTCTGTTGAGAAATATTGATAAATGAAAGCAAAATATGAGAAAAATATGGTTAGTACAAACTTCAAATTTCAAACAGATTATATGGCAAGAGATGCAGGTTTCTGAGAAAAAAAGATTAATTCCATCTTTTCAACCTTTTAAAACAATATTTGTGCTTCATGGTTTAAGAAATACACAAAATGTTAATATATTGATGCACTTTTTATTAATCCACAGCTGGAACACTATAACCACCACTAAGGGTAAATGATATTTAAAACCTTTCAATTTCTTGGTAGTTCAAAGTAGGAGTGGGTTTTAGTCAAAGTGGACACCCCCCCCCCCTCCACAAAAAAAGGGTCTTATAATTTCTTATTACAATAAGATATTTAGCATGGCACAGAGCATAATTTAATTTTCAGGTCTACCATTTGGAACATGTATATTTTTGCCAAGCATCTATTTACATCCACCTGTTTTATTTTCTTAGCCAACTTTTCAACCTTCCATCAAGGAATTGTAAGATTGCTTGCAGTGCAACTGAATGGAGCATATACATAGTAAGTGCATGGAAAAGACTTCAAATTAAGACCACACACAGATATGGAAGGGTGCCAGAATACATAAAAGCTAAACACTAGATGGTCATGGAAAGGATAGCTCAAGTCTGAAGAATCAGACAGAAGAGCCCTCCTTTCCATGACCCTCAGCCTCTGTTTTGTAACTGTTTTTAAGGGTCACACAAATTTAAGCCTTGCTTCTATGAACCTTTGGCCTTGAAAAATGACTTTCACATAGCGCAACACTTCTGATGATAATTTTGGGGAAAATCCCTTGCGCAACATTTGTCTTACGCATCATGTAAATTGCTTTGTTCCCACCTACCGTTCTCACGCAAATTAATATGGTTGGCCTGCGGAAACGCAAAATCAAATTCCAGAGGCGTGCCATCATTATAGGCATAACATTACACGGGGATTGAAGAATGATCTAAAAAGTACAGAAAATTCTCCCCAATAAGTTTGACCCCTTGAGGATACATTTTAGTTTAATGAGTTGTAACATTGTTTTAACTAAATACAAGGGATAGACTTTAAGACGACAATTTAAGACTAATGATTAAGAAAATACATTTTTTAAAGCCTTGTTTTACTAGACATTTTGGACTTACAAATGAGAAAGAATATAATGGTATAAACTATAATCTTTGATATATCTGACTCCTGGTCATGAGATGAAGCATTTGAATCTGGTTTGCTTATTTACTCTAATTTAGGCATTTTATGCAAGGTGTTTCTCTCAACACGGGTACATGTATATAGATGGGTACCTGGTGAGATATAATCCTTGTTATGCATTGCGTAGTGATAGAGAGCTTGGCCTTGTTTCATAAAATATCTTATCAATAACAAATGATAAATTTCTATGACAAATTTGCGCTCAGCCAATCAAATGGCACGAATCCAGTAGCTTATAACAGTTATAGTAACTTGTTATAGATGACAAGTTTTATGAAACATGGCCCTGGAATAAAGTCTGGATTGGTATTTTCTAAATATTCATACTGGGGCCATATATATTCACACCAATTAGAGGGATTCCAAATGTTGATATCTGAACTGCGATCATGAACCTCATATGTGTGTGTGTGTGTGTGTGTGTGTGCGTGTGGGTGCGTGGGTGTGTATGTGTGTGGACATACAAATCTCACTACACATATTTTAACATTTGGATGAGGATTCAACTCTTGCGAATAGTGCATTTTGTGAATAACCCTTAGCTGGTTTCTGTGCACTCTGTGTTAAAACATAGGTGAATGAAAGTGGGACTAGAAACTTAAGCCCAAGTCCACTCCAAAATTAATTTACTTTCAATAAAAGCAGAAAAATCAGACTAACCAATCAAAAAAAATCTGAGCAAAATCGGATATCTAATAAAAAAGTTATGAATTTTTAATGACATTAAAAACTTTGAAAATCACTAGACAAATTGGCAACTCACACTCATGAATCTGTGATGTCATGTCCTCACTATCCACTAATTATTTTCTTTATATTGATGATATAAATTTCCTATTTTCTCCTTAAGAATCTTATTTCTTCACACCACCATCCAAGTCAGATTAATAGTAATATGTTTTTGTGTGGATGCACTAATATAGAGTAATTTTTTCCAGCTACATCATGAAAAATGTGAATTTTGATAAACTATTTATATAAAAATCAATAATTATGAATAAACAATATTCCAAAAATAGTATAAATTCTTCAAAGTTCATAAAAGATTTTGTGAAATGTTATGCACGCAATATGATACAAATCGTACAACCTGGGCAAAGGCATTGGGAAATCAAGTTTTGGAATAAATAGGGAAATTAATGGGATTAAACCATATATGGAGCAATTGATAAATAGTGAGGACATGACGTCACAAACTGATAACCATCTCGGCAATTTGTGTTGTGATTCTCATTGTTCCATAGTTTAACATACTTTTTCAAAAATTCATAACTTTCTTATTAGTTATCCGATTTTGCTCAAACTTTTTTGAATTGCTTTGTCTGATTTTTCGGCTTTTATTGAAAGTAAGTTATTTTTTCTATTTTCCCATGAGTGAAAGGGCATGAAAACATGAAAGTTAAATCGCGATTCACAACTCACTTATTCTGGTGTGTGTATGGACCTGTAAACAATATTATTCTTTAAAAAAAATGAAACTATACTGTGCTTACCACTATGGAGTCAAATCCAACCGGAGCGGTGAGTCGGAATTTATCTTTCTTGATCACAGATTCAGTTCTGCCAAGCCCGGCTTCAACCAGAATCATTTTACCTAACTGAAAAAAGTTCAAATAAGGAAAAGAAAAAAGAAAATGAGATAATGATATTAATTGGATTTAAATAGTAGTTTTTCCAGAAACTACAAGGCATCGTCCCTTGGACTAAGGACGATTGAGGAGAAATGTAGAGGTATGCTTTCAGATATTTTTTGTTGTTGTAGAAGAAGTTAAATGAAGTTCTATTTCTTAGCAGTGCAGAAAGTAGGTTCCACAGGCACGAACGAGGCATCAGAGTAAAAGGATTTGAAGCCAGCCTGTTTACGGAATTTGGGAATGAGAAAGGCAGGAGCTGATGACATTCCCAAGTTAGAAAATTAGGTCTTAAACCATATGTAATCTTTGTTTTAACCATGCCCTCAACTGCCGGCCAAATAATGTGTCTATTTTTTCTTGATATCCTAACAGACAATAGTTTATGGTTTATATATATTGCCTTTACTTTTTTTTGCTGGGGGAATAAGTTTATATTTAGTCCTATGCTTCTACAGTAGCGCTTCTGTAATTTGTCTACATACAGGTAGTATTTTCAGTACAAATATATCTAAAATGACTGTTTCGCAAGCACTTGCATTCATGGTTGTCTAACCCCCTTACATATATACATGTTACAGACATTTTCTCAAGTTTCTTTGAAAATGAGCCTTGGTAATTTCACAAAATTAAAAAAGAAGAAGATATACTGCTTACAGTGTTTTTGAAAGGCTGGTCATATCCCATTTGTTTTTCATTATATATATCTTGTATCCAATAGCAATGCAAACGAGACAAGGCGAGAGAGGCCGAGAGACTGAGACAGAGACAGAGAATGGGAGAGAAAGAGAGACAAGCAAAACATTCTGCTTATTTTACAGTAACAAGGAAGACGTTTACAAACAACCAACAAACAGCCTGATTTTGATCTCATGTTTCCTCCCTCTGTTTCTCTCAAACATCATCGTTTCATTTGTATTGAATGTTCCAGGATCTGCCTGCATGCAAGTGCATAATGCGTTTCACTGGCTTCCCTGTGACCTTTGACCTGGCAAGGTAGGATTCTGATGATCATACACACCTACGCATTCCTCCCAGACAAGGTACCGACCAGAGAAAGACCCAAGGGTTCAGGGATCAACGAATAGGCACGAGACAAAAAGAAAAGGGGGAGAGGGAGAAGCTTGTACTACTTTCCTAGTAATGTCATATGTAAAATGAGTACAAAAGATGTAAATATGAACATCAGTTGAGACTTGGTCCGGGGACTGCTACTGAAAAGGCATTGGTTTGAAGAAAAGCCACAGGTCTTCAGGCACAAACTCTAATTTTACACATAAAAACAATTCCATCAAATGCTAGGTTAACCTTAAGATTTGTTGAAACCTTTAACAGCTTTCAAACTTCTCCAACAAATAAAAACTCCATGAAAATGACAGATAGGGCATGCGCTTTCACAGTGACCTTTAATTAAACTACTTTAGACGCATAAAAACCAATGATTGTCTTCTGACTCTGATGACTTGTCATGCGTGGGTATACAAGTCTCAGAGCAGATACAAAATAAAAAATGACTGTCGTTGCATGAATGTATTAAAGCAAGCCCCTCCCCTCTGTACATGATGCAGGCTCAGGTTCAGGGGAAAACAGTCTGTTCCTTGGACAAAACGTTGACCAGAGGCCCTGTTTGTAGGAGAATCACACCCTATATATGCACCTTTATATGCTACACTTCTTGCAAAGAGTAGAGTGCTTACCCGGAGTTTAGTATGTTTGCATTTACATATATACATATATATATTGTAACTGGTGATTTACAAACAGATCCCCAGGATAGGCTGCATATTATCCCTTTGAAGATTATCAGTAGAAGAAGAGGAAGAAGAAGAAGAACACCTTATTCCATTTATCTGTTGGATCTGTGGTGTGAAAAGTGCAAGTAACATGCTAATGGCAATCCAAGGGAAATTTGTTTAGACGTACAAATCATGTTTGCTTTTCCTCCGCTGGTGGTCTAAACCAATTGCCTTCGCAGATCTGTCCCACAAAATCAAAGGGTTCGAACCTGAGCTACATTTCAAATGTGTATAACAGAAATGTTAAAGGGACAGTTGAATTCTTGTTTAAGACCGCAAATGCCTTCAAAGTGCATGGTTATTGCTCTTATTCTTATTTATATACCTCATTTTAAGATTCTTTACTAATCCTGTCTTCTGATTGGATGAAAATGCAGTCATGTTCTTAACCATGCCCGCTAATTGAAATTCATAGTCATTTTTCCCGGCTCTACCGGTTTATATCCATTTTTCATAGCACTTTTTCCATGGCTGTGAAACGTGACGTCATTTTGCTGCGATCCCCATTTTGGTTTACGTGTTACCGTATAAGTTTCTTTTGTGCGATGACCGATGCGCAATACCGTTAACGGTGTTTGAGTGCAATTCGATTTTGGTCGCTGCATTCAGGCGACGAATTAATCTACCAATCCACGCAGCGCAGACGACCGATCGCCATTTTGTGTACTAGTCTCGATCGCAAAATACTGGGGTTTTTTGTTTCATACTGTACACAAGTTATTGGTGTTAATATTCATGACTTCAAAGAGATGGAAACCTAAATGGGTGAGTCAACATTTTCCTTTTTTTCGGTATATAAAATATATATTGACTGCTTTTAATATTCGAGGCATAGTTGTTTCTATAGGGTCTCTGGAAACTCACAACCTGCTATGACCCCGCGGCGCAAGCGCCTTGGGGTCATAGCAGGTTGTGAGTTTCCCTTGACCCTATAGAAACCACTATGCCTCTCAAAGCAGTCAATATATCCTTATTATGACATTTCTGCATGGTGCCCTTTTAGGTCCTAAAATTGCTATTAAGGTAATTGTAGTCCCCGATCATATCAATTCAGCTCCACTTGAAGAAATATGGTGACCGTTAATTTAATGATTTGATAATAATGGCACTACACGGGCCAGCTGGTTGTGCATATTATAATAACCAACACGAAAATGCCAATGAAAAAACTAACATTGGCATTGGCTGGAATAAAAACGTATAAGGCATTATATCCCGCATACTAATAATCTTGCAATCTGATTGGTCTAAACGAGGTCACATGATAAATTATAGATAAGTACTATCTACCTGAGATAGGTCTTTCATAAAGTAATTTTTTGCTGCTGCCCCACTTGCGCGACTTGTGCATTGAGTAAGCATAGCAAAGTAGGTTACGCGAAATGTCAATGTCAATGTCAATGTCAAATGAGTGCGCATCGACTGTATTACATGTACGCATGTTGTGCTTTGTAAAATCTAGCTGAAGCTAAACTGTCTGCAAAACCAGTTGTTTTAATTATTTAAAATTCACTTTAAATAGACCTTATATTGCCGATGCAGGATATAAAGCAAATATTAACCTCCTTTACTCACCAATGGATACAAACTATTACCCTCGTAGTCGATTAATATTTGCTTACTATCTCGTTTTTTCAACGGCTGGTTCAAAATTATCAAAAATTTGTGGGGCCCCACAAATATTAAAAATGGATATATTTATGGTTATTTCAGCCGTCTCTAAACTGATTTTGATCAAACAAATATGATTTTGTCATCTAAATTGTATGCTCTTTCAAATTATCTCACAATTTTTTGTGTGAAGCGCCATTTGCAGGCCAACAAAATTAAAAGGTACTTCCAACGGCATTTTAAAGATAATACTAATTAAAACTTCCCTCAAAACAAAAGGGGCTTGAAAATATCTTTAAGTGGGAAAATAACGGCCATTGGTTGTCGATCCACTTTAGTGATTGCAATTCATTTAGTAATAGTCTGATTTCCAGACCGTTGTACCGAATGGTGGTACATTTTGTGCTGCGCAAAGATTTAATCAGTTTAATTTTGGCCATATAAGAAGTGGGTTATTGATGTACACAAATGCTCATGTATCCTTTTCAGCTCATTTTCTGTATGTTATTACCAAAGAAATAAAAGGAAGTCAGTCAGTCACTCAATAGTGTCTGACAGTGAAGTCTAGAAATTAAACGGGTTTCCTTGCATAATTTGAATATTAGGACACTGCTAACGTTTAAATTTCACAAGTAGGACATACGTGACATTCATAATTTGGAGGCAAATCTAAAGTTATAAATATCTTTTCTCTTTCTGTTCTCTTTCTTTTCTTACAAAATATTATTTTAACTCTGATCAGTAAAATTAAAACTCCAAAGACAACTTTTTTTTAATGAAGACATGCCGTTTATATTTTCTAATTAATTTTTTTCTTCAGATGGAGAACACACGCCTCCTATTTCTGCCACTGGTGTATATTTGTTTAAGATATCTGCTGTAAATTATTCAAGACAGCGTAATAGTGACCACCCTGGTTAACTATCACACTTTCCTGTTTTTAAAATTGGCAATCTCACATTATGTTTACATGATTTAAAAAAAATAAACCATTACCTTAACACGTTACATTGATTTCATCACCTCTAGCAAATATGAACAAGAATACTCCAAAGGTCTATAAAAATTGTGATTCTGCATCGAAAAAAAGTGATGTACGCATTCATACAGAGATCAAGAGAAGGAAAAGAGATTCAGAGAGAATAAAAAATAGAGAAAATAAGAAGGGATGATTAGCAAGAAATGGGTAAAAAGAGAAGAGAGAAATGGAAAGAGGAATGAGAAAGTCAGACAGAATTGGAGAGAAGAAGAGATAGATACATTAGAGAGAAAGAAAGCAAAAGAAGGAAGGCAGGAAGGATAGAGATAGAAATGTTTCCTTGCTATTGCATTGTCCGAAGCACCGACATAGGCGCAATCCCCAGTACATACAGAGTTACAGACATTAATCCTACTGCAGAGGGGCATATAAGCAATCATACCAAACATCGAGGTAAATCAAGGTAAAACAGAAAAAGGGAGAGAATTGGATAGAGAAAAAGGCAAGAAAGACATTGAAATAATGAAGAGAAAGAGGATAGAACTTAGAAGAGGGAGAGACAGAGAAAAGTGATGGAAAGA